TCATTCTTAATGCTAGATTCGACCTTCTATGGCTAATCCAAGATAAACCTGACCGCGACGCAGACAAGCGTCTTGCTGCTCACATAACTTATGTACATATGAACTCTAAGCAACCTGAGATTGATGGAATGAAACCCGTTGACATGAAACTGATAAGGTTAGTTAAGAAAGAGTTCCTTTCGCAAGATCTGAGATGTAAGGTTGCAGGCGCCTTATCGAAGTGGCACAGAGAAAACAACCAGTTGTAGGAGATGCTCTCAGGGAAAGGTACACTTCAATTAATTCATGCACACTGTTGTCACTGTTATTTTTGAAGCAAATCAATTGTGTGCAAGCTTTATAATTACGTGATTAAGGCTCGTCGAGATGTACGTGGATATGCGTCGTGCTGCCCGTGAAAGTGATGATTCTACATTTACATCTCCTCGATTGTTGCTTTCTGTGATCAGGTAGGCTTATAAACATTTTTACTCACTACTCATTCTCTACGCTTTGTCAAGAATGTCGACCGCCCTGGCTCGTCTGCGCCTGTCAAACGTAGTCTTGCCGGACGATATCGAGGAAGCCATTCGTTTGATGCAAGCAAGCAAGGATTCTTTGCGTCCTGAGATGATGCAACAGGAGATGTTTGTCACAAATTTCTTATCCTGATGTTGCTGTTGGAATACATCATTATTCCAGTCGCCAATCCCCAATCGATCGCGCGTTCGCCGTTTTGAGGGAACTCAACTCATCAGGTGGTGATTCTGTCATCCCACTGCAGACAGCTGTGGAAGCGTGAGTTATCATTTCCAATAGTTTTTCTTGAACATATTTAATAGTTTTTAATGCAGTTGTGCTCGCAAAGGAATTAGTGAAGAAGCACTTCGGGATGCTGTTACGGTCCATCAGTCGAATGGTGTGATCATGGTAGATGCTCAACAGAGAATCCGCTTTGTCATGAATTAATTGCGCTTATTTTTCAATCTTTTACCATATTCTTAACTTCATTATTTTCAAACAAATTTCTAAATCCGTTGACCCATGATCTCGTACTCCCGAAGTAACTCAAAATTCACTGTTTTTAAAACCCATT